TGGGCGCCGATCGGAGCGACTTTTCCCCTCCGGCGCGGGCTGCTCCCAATGTACCGAAAACCTTTGACTGCAAGTCGGCGAAAACATCCGAACAGGGACTTCAAAGGCTCAGGCGTCCGTTCTCACACCAAGAGGAGAGGAGGGGCATGCCAGACGCTCTGCTCCATGAGCATTCGTCGTGTGCTACGGTCGTGATAACGTCTGTTGCGAGTAGATGTCTGAATAATAACGTTTGCTGCATGTGGCCGGCTGTCATTTCGTGTTGGTCTCTTCTGCCCTGTCATTTTCACTGCCCTGTTGTATTGGTGGCTTCTTCACAGTTTCTCTCAGACACAGTATGTCTGACTGTAGCTGCGGGTTTTTCCCCAGCGAACATACTGATAGATATTGCGTCGCTGGGTGGGTGTTCGGTGTCATCATTAATGCATGACTTCCTCGAGGTTTTCCCATGTCAGACTCAAGTGATATGATGCGAAACGATTGTGACGGTGTGACGCTGTCGACACCCCCCTCCCTTCCATCCGGTCCGACACGGCGCGGGGCCGCGAGAGTCCTCTGACGGCGATCGTCGATCGGACGCACCTGCGTGAGGGATAAGGGGTCGGGAGTCGTGGCGTAAGAGATAAGGGGCGTAGGGGTCGTACAGAGGCGCGGCGCGCGGACGGCCGCGGACCTGAATGACCTGCCACGGGCTTGACTGACCTGCTGCGGACCTGACTAACCTGCCGCAGACCTAACTGACTTGCCGTGGACCAACCTGACCTGCCGCAGACCAAGCTAACGCACCGCAGCCCAGCCTGCCCTGCCGCGGACCTGACTAACCTGCCGCGGACCTGAATGACCTGCCACGGGCTTGACTGACCTGCTGCGGACCGGACTAACCTGCTACGGGCGTAATCCATCTGCCGCGGACCTGACTGGCGTGCCGCTTGACTGACTCTGTCGTGCCGCGGACTTGACTCTATCGTGCCGCGGACCTGACTCTATCGTGCCGCGGACCTGACTCTATCGTGCCGCGGACCTGACTATCGTGCCGCGGACCTGACTGACGTGCCGCTGGCCTGACTCTGTCGTGCCGCGGACTTGACTCTATCGTGCCGCGGACCTGACTCATTGGGACGGGCGGTTTTCGGAACCTGCTGGATTAGATGTGGGGTGGTGACGGGGGCGCGGCAGAGTCGTCACCACCCGCTGGGTCGGCGCTAGTAGCACGACAGACGAACACAGACCACCCGCTCCACGTGTTGGCGCACCAGAAGTGGTGTCGCTGGCAAACGTGCTTTCGTAACGCTGGGCGCGTGCCTGTCGTAGGCTCGGACGACGACGTGGAGGATGACATCCTGCAGCAGAAGAAGAAGATCAACACCACCTTACTGGTGCACTTCTTCGGCCCCAAGGGCGACCATGAGCTGTCGTACGACGAGTTCAAACAGTGAGTTGGCATGGCTGCGAACGGCCCTGCAATATGTGACGAATTAGAGGTCTCTGAAACTCCAGGGTGCAACGGTTGCCCACACAGATCTCCTCTGCTGTCAAAGTTGCCGTGGCTGGAGGTGTAGGGCCTACTACATTAGCTGCAGCAGGTGTGGGCTCTTCTATATCCGTTGGACTGCATGCGGCCTTCAGTTGCGGACACCGGTGTGTCCAGCCTTCATGTATACCTGTTATGTGGATGATCTACATACATACATATATATATATATATATATATATATATATATATATATATATATATATGTATGCATATATATACATCACAAGGTGATAGTGGGGATCAGAACCTGACGACAGCGCTTCGTCAGGTTCATGGAGAACCTGCAGGAGGAAGTGCTGGAAATCGAGTTCCAGGAGTTCGCCAGAGGCTACCACAAGATCAGCGAGGTCGAGTTTGGCAAGATCCTGCTGCGATACACCTATCTGCGGCCAGACCAGTGGGTGTTGACCTCCGGCCGTTTGGCAGCGGGGGGGGGGGGGGGGCGGGGATAACGCCCCGGCGCCGGGCGTGCCCCTGCGCGCGGCGTGTGACGCAGGTCGTGCCGCCACCGCTCCCGTTCGACCGGCTGACGGCCGGCGATCCGCCCGGACACTCATTAAGCCGTTGGGCTGGTCGCGTGCTCTGCCGATAATAGGACGGGCGCCTGTATGGGCCGGCAGGTATTGGGCGGTGCGCTCTCAATATCGGCCCGGTTCCGGCCCCAGGAAGCCATGTGCGCGCCGGCTGCCGGCCATCAGTATGCCCGGCCGCTGGGTTCCGTGGGCCGGCTCTGTGGCCGGCCGATGAGGCGACGGCCCTCCTCTGTGCCGGCTGGGCGGCTATCCTCTGTGTCGACTGCCGCCGACTCCTCTGTGCCGGCTGTGCAGCTGTCCTTGTGTCGACTGCCACTGATCTCTGCGTAGACTGCCGCCGGCTGCTCTGTGCCGGCTGTGCAGCTATCCTTGTGTCGAATGGCGCTGACCTATGTGTAGACCGGGCCGCCGACTCCTCTGTGCCGGCTGTGCAGCTATCCTCTGTGTTGCAACAAAATAAAAATGGAATATTTCGGGGCGTCGGTTCAAGGGTGACCTGTTGTGACCTGATGACCGAGCTCGCTTGGGGTGCTCGTATTCAGCGTGACTTCTGACCCGTGCGCCGCTGCGAGCGCAATCCCCCGATATGGATTCCTCAAACTTTCATGGAGTCGAGGTTCACTGTTTGCTGAGGGGAGCTTCTGGTTTTGTGTGGCACGGTGTTACGGTGCGTGGCTCGCCGTCGGCCGTGAAGTGAGGGTCGGCGCTTCGCCTGAGACCAGCCCGTCTTCAGGTACGACCTCTACATCGACCGGCTGGTGGAACGCATGGAGGAGACGTCGTTGCGAGGCATCACGTTCGGGGAGTTCAGGGACTTCTGCAACTTCCTCAACCAGCTGGAGGACTTCGCCATTGCCATGCGCATGTACACCATGGCCGACCAACCCATATCTCAAGGTGGGACACTGTGTGCCGCCCCGGGTTTGTCGAGGGCGGTTTTCCCATGTATCAGTGTAGAAGACGTGCCCAAGCATGCGTTGTGGATGTTATCGTGTTTGTTGTCTTGATAGACACACTTGACCTAGAAATGGGTGTTTTTTCAGAACCTGCCTCGCAAATACATAGTTCTAGACCTGGTACGAGACACCTAAATTTGACAAGCTGATTGATTGTGCGTGCAGTTACTTCATGGCTTGTTTGAGAACTTGGTCAACTGCATATATGTGTAGCGTGATTACCGTTGTCAGCACGAACGACGTACAGTACATTACCATAGGCCAAAGCATTGCCGTCTGGTAAGCTAGCGGTGCCAGACTGGCGCGGCCGGCAGCCATGTGTGCCGTGTCTGCCCGCCCGGCTGTCCGGTCGTGCCGCTGCGGCGATGCCGTGTTGTTGGCTACCTCCGCGGCCGCGGTGCTGGCGGCCGCTCCAGGGGGGGGGGGGGGGGGGGGGGGGGGGGGGCGCTCGGAGTCGGTCCTGACCTGAGTGACCCTCGGTCGGCCGGCCCGTCGGCAGACGAGTTCCTTCGGGCCGTCAAGATCTGTACTGGCAAGTCGCTCTCGGACCACGTGGTCGACACCGTGTTCTGCATCTTCGACGAGGACGGCGACGGCCAGCTCAGCTACAAGGAGTTCATCGGCTTCATGAAGGAGCGTCGGCAGCGCGGCTTCAAGGTAGCTGCGGTGCCGCCGGCGCGGGCCGCCAGCTGAGGGTGGCGGCCAGCATTACGGCCGGTCCGGGCGCCGCTCATGTTGGCACGTTCAGTCGGGGCTCCCAGCGATTATACCGGCTTGGTTCGGGCAGTCGGCACACGCTCACGTGGCCCACACTCTTGACCTTTCATACATTCGTGCTTGCTGTCGTTTGTGATTCAGAAAGGTCGCGGAAGGGGATACAGATGTATGGGGTGCGGTGCCTTACGCTCTCGGTCCGCCCGATCCCAGCACTAACCCGGCCCGCCTGCCTTTCAGACCACTCCGCGGACCTTCGGCTGGCAGGCGTTCAAGTACTGCGTCAAGCAGGAGATGCGCACCTCCTCGTGAGCGTGTCGAGCGCGGCGGCGCGCCCCAGTGCGACCGGAGCCGTGACCGTGGCCGGGCGCCGACCGAGCTGGGCCGGCGGCTCGGCGAGCCACTCTGTGCAATGGCCGGCGATCGGCGCCCGGCGGCCAGGCCTCGCTGGCCAGTGGTTTTAGTCATTTGATGGGACAATGTCGAGTACTGGTCCATACAACTGAACACACGGATGATGTGCGGTGTTGACGAGTGGTGAAGAAGACGCTATGAACAAGCGCGAAGCCTGTAACATCTGCCTCGGTACCTTACGTGGATGTGCGTGTTCGTGAGACCATCCCACTGTCCCGGCAGGTGGTATTTGCGTGTCAGTGTCACCGACAGTCATTGCCAGCTCCGTTAGTTGTTACTGTTTTCGCCATGCTTGTCGGGATGGTTAAGTTGTGTCCCTGTGGTAATGTCCGTTTGTGCATGGTGTTTTTGAATTCTTTTTTGGTTCGATCTGGGTGTTTGCATTACATATGATAGCCACCGCATAACGTGATCTTCCCATGCGCATGTGCGTGATATATCCTTGTTCGGAGAGACATTGATGCTGTCTCTAGCGTGTCCCCGTTTTTGTCCTGGCGTGTGTGGAAAGCTCGCAATGGTTGAATCCGCTGACAAATGTAAACATTGGTGGGCGGGGTTTGACGCTGACTTTGCTTGCTGGAAATGAAATGGCTGCTGCGTCCGTTTCAGCAATACCCGTTCTGTTAGCGCAAATAATGCATAATTGCAAGAAACTTCCTCACATCGGCGTTTTGTACTCATCACTGACACGTCTGAATGGCACGCAGCGCGCGTGGGTTCGATGTTCCATTCCAGTTTGATTACCAACCGCACTGCGTCATAACGCACATAGTTCATAGGACACTGACTTAGAACGCCAACACTGCTATCTGAACAATCAGCCACTTAAGCGCAGGAACAAGGCTTCGGTCAAGCCTCCAACAAAGCCTCTGTGTGCGGCGTCGCTGGTGGGCCGGCGGTGCGCCCGGCCTCACAGGTCTAGCGTGTCCGCTGGACCGCCGAGTGGCCCCGCCGCGGGTCACGCCGGGGGCGCCATTAGGCGGCCGTGTCGGCTGGCGGTCCTGTGCTTGGCCGCTCGCCGCCGCCGCCGCCGCCGCCGCCGCCGCCGCCGCCATCCGGCAGCGAGGTGAAGGTCAGGTGCTGGGCCTCGGTCGGCTCGCTGCCCAGCAGCGAGGTGAAGGTCAGCTGCTGGCCCTCGGTCGGCTCGCTGCCCAGCAGCGAGGTGACGGTCAGCTGCTGGGCCTCGGTCGGCTCGCCGGCGTCTGTCACCTGGTGACGTCGCGGCAGCGCCACACTGCTGGGCGCCTCGGTGCTGAGCGTGCGGCGCCGGCTGGGCGCCCGGCCGCCCAACCCGCTCCGAGCCTGCAGCACTCGGTACTGACGCCGCAGCTGCGTCCGCACCTGGGAAGACCCCGGTCCAGACGATAGAGTCGGCCGCCGGGTGGCCAACGGCGAGAGGTGGAACGGAGATGCTGGAGGTGGGGGCTGAGGTGGAGGCGATAACACAAAAACGCCGCAGTATCTTCGTACATGCATCTGGTACCACTTGCATGCGAATATCCAACAAAAATATTTGATAATATGCAAGGGCCGAGCCCATTAGAGGAACAGAATGGCGCCTCTGTGACAAGTACCATTGTTACTTCCGTACCGTGCGGAGGAGTGAGTGGTGCAAAACCAGGCGTGGAAATTTGAGCGAAGTTCGGCATGTATGACTGAAGTGAAGAAGTCGTTTGACAAAAAGTGGAATGGCGCGTTTCTGACACTTTTCAGTTCATAGTGCTTGTTTGCCATTCTTAAATTTTATTTGGGTAATCCCACGGCACACGAGTACATTCATAACCAGTAGCCGTCCGCTTATTTAGGCGCACGAGTTTGTCAGATGTCGCCCGCTGCGACACCAGGCGTGGCGTGGCACGACCGCGCTACTACCCGGTGTAGCGCGGTGGTGCCGCGCTACTGCCACGCACCTAAAAAACAACAACAAAAAAAAAAAAAACGGCAGCTGCGTCTTGGCGGGCCCGGCCCCAGCCGCGAACTTTACCTCAGCGTTTGTGTAGAAGTATATGCAGGCGACGACGGCGCCCTGAAGGCCGCTGATGAGGTAGCTGGCGATGTAGTAGGCCTGCTCGGCGGCGCAGTCGACGTCTTCCTTGGGCGGGAGTGCTGTCACCAGGAACTGCAGGCCGAACAGCGGCACCAGCATGGCCAGAGCGCGGAACGACCGTCTGCCGCACGGACGGCAGGGGGGGGGGGGGGGTTTAAACTGCAGCCCGAACAGCGGCACCAGCATGACATCGTCTGCCACACGTACAGCAGGCGGGTTCAATGCTGAGCACGATAATGCACCTCGTTTTCCGTCACAAAGAAGTATACTCATCGGAGATCATCAAATTTTTAATTGGGCCGGGACCGCTGAGATTTTGCTCAAACTCATAAGGCCAGTAGCGATCGACATGCTCGTCCGTGGCGCATCCCGATTTCCACTGTATTTTAGGCTCCAGAAGTCATCGAAGTTGAAGACCAATGAACGCCTAGCTCCATGTTTGGTTCAAATTTAATAAAGATTATGATATTAAATCGACCAAAGGTTATTGAGGTTCCATATAATTTTGCATGCACCGTTCTGCTAGGGTTATTAATTAGAGTGACGAGAACGACATGCACCATCGTAATGAGCATGACGAACCGTAATTTGTTTCAATAATCGATTCTGTAAAATAATGCAAGCAAGCATGGGATGGCCTTGTTCTTTTTTAACTCATTTCGATACACTCTTTTCATCATTAATAAGATCACGTATTTCTTTCTAGGCAAGGGGGGCCTTTTAAGAAGAACACTAAGGGGTACATGATCGTTCCCGTCTGGAGCTGCAGGGACATTCCGTTCCAGCCTTCCGGCTGCCATTCTGGCAACATGGGCGGGATCCCTTGGTCGATCCGGAGGGCCTTATAGGGATACATCGTATGGCATTCGTCCCTTCTTGACGCGGGAGGCCTTCTGACCCATGCAGCTGGCCTCGGATCGACGCAAGAACCTCTTTGACGCAATAACATCCCTGATCGCCGCAGGCGGTCCACTAATTAGCGTATATACCCAGTCCGGCTTAACGGACCCATGCCGGGATTAGGTTGGGGGCCCACCGTTTGGTACCGCGGTCCTGACTGACACAGGATCCATCCATTGTCTCAATGCAAACACTCCTTATAAGCTGAAATGTTTCCTTTCATTGACAGGGGACCCCGACCAGAGGTCCTCTGTCATTCGGGGTCCCGTCCTCGTCCCTGTTGAGCAAATGTTCCCGGCCGACTTGTGGCTCCTTGTTGGCAAAGGACATCCTGTTAGGCGCTGGGCCACTGACCGATGCAGGAGCCCTGCACTATCGCGGGAGCCCCGACTTCGCAAATCGCGGGCCCGACCTTGTCCCCGCTTGGGAAATGGGTCCCGAGAGCTCGGACCGACACAGAGCCGACTGTTCGGTGTTGGTGATCTCTGGCCGAAATAGAGGAACGCTCTGTCTGAGAGGTACCCGATCGGTACAAGAGACCCTCTAACTGACATTTGAGATCACGGCCCCAGGGGTGGAAGTCCTTAATGTGACCTACAGCCAGCCCTTCGGGCTCTTCAGCCCTCCAATCGGACTTTTTAACTTTAGTCCCGAGGGGCCTCTTTTCGGGCCTCCTCAAACAAAGGCGGTATCCGACTCGGGGCCACTAGCCGACACATGACCCCTTGTTAGCCACTGACTGTGCGCCCCTGGCCGACACGGGGCCCACACATTGTTTCAGGGACCCAGGCCAATGCAAGCCGTAGGCCCTAGCCTTGCTCCTGCTTGGGAAATGGGCCCCAGGGTTCAGACTAAGAGGGAGCCAACTGTTCGGTGTTCATGGTCTCTGGCCAACCGAGACACACGCATTGTCTCAGAGGTCCTCAAACGGTGCGGAGGGACCTCTGACTGGTATTGCAGGTCACGGCACTACGGGCCGCGATTCTTTTTGTGACACTCAACCAGTCCTTCGGGGCCCTTATACCCTCCAACCGAGCCATTGATCGTCGGTTCCGTTTAGCCGCCGGGCCCCTTTCGCACCTCATCGAACACTGTCCTTGGTCGGCTCGGGACCCTTAGCGAATACAGGACCCTCTGTCAGGCATCGCGCTGCGGCCCATACCGACTCGGAGCTGATTGTGCGGTACTAGTGATGCCTGATTGACATTTAGGCCCATTTCAACGCAGGAGGTCCGCGATTGGTGCAAAGAGCGCTTTACCATTTGAGGGTCCGTCCTCATAGGCCAAGGCCCCGAAATGAGGCCCGACTAGCGTTTCGTGCTTTTAAGCAATCCAATCGGGCCCTTGGTCGTCGGTCACGGTGGGTCTTCCAGGGCCTCCTCAAACACTGCCTCCGGCCGACTCGGGCCCCTCGCCAACACAACACTTTGAGGAGGCCCTGTGACCAGGGCCTCCTCAAACACTGAACCTATGGCCGACTCGGGACACTTGCCAACACGGGGCACCCTGTGACCAGGGCCCCTCAAACACTGCCTCTGGCCGACTCGGGACACTTGCCAACACGGGGTCCCCTGTGACCAAGGCCTCCTCAAACAATGCCTCTGGCCGACTCGGGACCCTTGCCAACACGGGACCCCCTGTGAAGTGCTGTGGAACCTTGACAGACGCAGAGACCCGGACCAATGCAATTCGCTGGCTCCTGCTTTGTCCCTGCTTGCATGGACAAAGCAAGAGCCAATGTACACATAGCAATGTATACATAACAGCAGTGATATCCTTATTCATCACAAGAAAACTAGGAGAATGGAGATACAGATGCGTTGATATTTCGGCAACATGCCTCTATTGGAAAGAATGTCAGAAGTAGCTTCAAAATTGTCTGCTGATCCTGCTCGACCTTTCAGTTTTTTTAACAGCGAGCCCCATTTTTTAGAGGTCGCTAACATTCAGGGGATTAAACAAGGAGCACTTGCCAGCCATCACTACGACACAGTGCTTATCTAACTAAAAATGTGAACAAGTGACGAATACATGTACATGCAAAGGTATTCAAGTTAACAGTGATGTGATGCGTGCTAGCTTAAAATCGTGTACATGTATGAGTGAGGCCTGACACGTGATGCATGATGCCTGCCTAATTGAAATCAGTTGCATGGACAATTGATCCGCGATACGTGATGTCTGTTTACTTAACTCGCTTGCATGTTTGAATAAAGCATGATAAGTGATGCTTGTTTACTTGAATTCGTTTGTATGCACATGATTTGTCGCGTATTCTAATTCTTAGTTAGATATGCACTGTATCGTGGTAATGACTGGCGATCGCTACTGGTTTAATCCTCTGAATGTTGGTAACCTATTAAAACTATGCCTCCCTGTTAAACAAAACCTGAAAAATCGAGTAGCATCGGCAGGCAATTTTGAATTTTCTACTGGTTTTCGTTTCGATTAAGCCATAATGCCGAAACATCAACACATCTATATCTCCATTCGCCTGTTTTTTTTCTGCGAGAAATAAGGCTATTACTACCGTCGTTCCTTGTTTTGATTACAACCTGGTTCCTGGGTTTTTAACATCTTTTTTTGCGAAGGAGCAGATAGAAAACAGATTGAGCACATATGCATCGCACGTGTCCAAACAATTCCAGAAGTTGGAGCTGGTTTCCGGTGGTTGAAGCCATGTCAGTGATCACTTGTCTGGACACATGCGATGCATATGTACTCAATCTGTTGTTTTCTCTGCTTCTTCGTGCACACGATAGGTAGATTACGGTTAAAGCCCACAGGCACATCGAGTGGGAGGTTAGGAAAATGGTTTGTCTGAACGCATCACCTGTAACACGCTGGGGGGGGGGGGTTCACTGCATAATTATGTCCTTGTCTCAAGCAAGTCGTCTGTCTTCGCCTATCGGCAGACCAGCTTCTGACCCGCCGGCCTTTTACATGTTAGTTTGGCAGGAATGGCGGCGCCGTGGAGGACGTGGAGGACGCGTCACTCACAGCTCCCATGGCGTGGGCGACCGTTCCCAATAACCTCAGTGATCCGAAATGTCCGCTGTCTGACATTGTGAGGATTGCAGGCGCTTTGGTCAGCTGATGATGATTGTCGAACGCATGTACATGTGCTCTGGTCTCATCCCTTTCTGCTCCTTCCTGCACTTTGTTTAGCGCGTGGCGCCCAGCGCCTTTAGCGCCGTGGTCGTCACGCTCCACACTGCTGTTCCTAACCTCATTTAAGTGCTGTTCATTGTATTGTATCCTTATTTCCAAGGATGTTCCCACCTCTGACTTCGTCGTTCACGCTATGCCATCTACACTCCAACATGCCGTGTTTCCCATGTCATCGCGATGAACGTATGTTTTTGAATGCATGAATAAATACAGTGCAATGAATTGCCACCGCTGAGTTGTGCGCGTAAGACGCGACCCACCCCGCCGAAGCAACTTATTGAAGCCGTCTAATCACACTGAATACTCGGTGAAAGATGTGAGTGGACGGGTTTTTTACCATTGTAATAGACATCGAACTCGACCTGACTTGGTCAAACACGAGCATGGGCTGCAGGGATGTTCGAACACTTTAATGCTGCGCATCCAATGTCCCACTTTGGTCGCAGACAAAAACCACCAACTGTTGCACTGCACGTATGATGCAGGACTTACCTCCTACCCTCTGAAGACTGCAGTTTGGTGTTGAGAATGCGTAGCACGTTCACCATGAATACCAAATTAAGCTGAAAGGGCATCGAAGACTGATTACCCAAGCGAGTAGCTTAGTGTAACAACAAAGGCAATTGGCAAACAATCAAGTAAAAAGCAGGCAATCATAACAAATGTAAGTGCACTGGCTAAATGTTGGCGCAATTGGGTTAATACATTTGATGTCATAAATAGTCATGACTTTTCCTATGTACCTAAATGGATGAAAAGTAGCAGGCGATGATTGCCATGCGATCGTAATGATCGGCGATCACATTCACGTACCACTCAGTGCGCGGAATCAATAGGAATGGGTCAATTGGTGAGCTCCACAAACAACAGCTGGCATGGAGGTCGCAGCTGGGGACGCGGCTCGTACCAAAAGGCAAGCGAGTTTCGGGGCGTCGAGGATCCAGACCAGGTGGTGCACGTTCAGCATCCAGCAGAGTTCGTCCTCGAGCAGCGCCTTGGCCGCTGCCCAGCCGCCGACGAACAGTGCTGGAACGCCTGCGGGCAACACCGGCTGTGTCAGCCGCCCTCACGGCTCCCCCACCCGAGTGGTGGAAACTAGTAAGCCGACATGAGATCTGTAATTCAAAACCAACAGTTACATTCATGACAGTGTCCATGGTGATGGAGGCGTCGATTGAGGTCAAACTTACGTCAGGTCACTACCATAAGCAATTTAAGCAGAATTTGTACCATCGGACATCAACGGACGGACATCAACATTGTAAACTTAAGGTCATTCAAGCTGGCGTCAAGGGTACCTCACAGAATAACCTCAGGTGACAGATATCCACCGTCCGGAAGTAATTGTTTGCATGCTTTAACCAAACCCCTTTGCTGTTCTTTCAGGATACATGCATTTAGGGACTGCGAGGAAACGTTTAAAATGTACTTATTTTATCTCGTTTGGCCCGGCGCGGCAGGTTAACATAAAGCGATCTAGTCAAAAGTTCCATGACATGTGTGGAGCTGCCACCCGCCCCGTCTCTGAACTAAGTTCTAACAGATCTGATGCAAAATCGGCAGCAGGCTATGTCTAGAATGATTAAAAGCACGGGTTCCAATAGACACCAATACAATATTTAAATCATTGCTGCGAACTTGAGTTATTTAAAAGCCAAGTTTCATCTAAAATGTGAACCGAGTAACTTTATTACTTAAGTAAGTTTGATACTCTCAGCATCAAGCACCGTTAATCATATTTAAACAAGTATTTCATACTGGCTCACGTACCATTCTAATGAATGACCATTATGGTCGGTTTTGAGCATATTATTGTTTTCTATGCTATCCGATAATCTAGTTATCCTTCGACACTGAACGCTGGGGAAGCAACAACACTGCAGTAACTGGCAACGGTTAGCACCAGCAAAAGACATGAGAATGCCAAAACCCCTTTTGACTTGATTGCGCAGGATATTGTTGCATATCCCCCCGGCCATCTCATGTCCTACATTTTTCAAAGGCTGCCTTTTTGCGCTGTAATAGTTCTCTAAAGCTTTGGCCTAACACGGACTGCTATGGTAGCAAGCATACATCAGTCGTGTTTCCTATGACGGCAGTGTGTCCTATATCATCTAATCATGCCTACGGTCACTAATTGTTGATTATCAGGGTGGTGCCCATACCTTGCGGACGAAGATGGACGCAAACAATTTCAAGATTTCTTGGAAAGAAATAAACGACAGGAAATATTTTACTGTGACTATTCCCCCTCCACTTTCTCGAGCGCTTTTAAATGACGGAATGCGCAATTTTCTCAGAATACCATTTGCGGCTGCAATTTATCAAAACGTTATAACAAATCAAATCTTCCACACAGAGCACTTCCGTGAAGACTGCTGACGTGCCGCTGGGAAGATGTCGGCAGGTGAAGAGTTAGCATGGTTGTAACGTTAGCAAAGCCGGGGTGGCCCGGTGCGTAGCACCCAGCCGCCCTGCTCGCGCACAGGACAATAACAACTACCGGCACCAGAAGCCGGACAGGCTCCGCAGGCTGGCGGCCGCGGCCCACGCACGTGTAACGGTGCGCCGGCCGCGCACACACACGCACGCGCGCGGCGGCGGCCAGCGGCCAGCGTATCTGACGTCGGGGAGCGGCGCCGGGCCGCCGCGCCGCCCCCGTCCGGCGCGCGACCTTGTTACGCCCCGCGATTGCGGCCCTGTCCGCGCCTATCTCGAGCCCGGCGCGCACAGAAGCGGAATGTGCACACGGCCGCGCTCGGACCGTGCCTCCACAGTCCGGCTGAAGTGACGGAGGCGTCAATCCGGGGCAGTCTCGAGACTGACCGACGTGTCGGCCGCGTCCATCCGGCGCAAACGGCCGGCGCAAGGCTGTGAAATCTGACTGAAGTTGTTGAAAAATCAGCTCACCGACCTTTTCTATAGGGACAGAGCAAATCATCGCTCAGAGCTGCACGTCTAAGGCAACCCTGAAAATTGGCGCCATTTCGTGCGCTGCTGGCCACAACGTGCATCCTCTGTGTCCACAACAGTGACCAACAATAACCAACAATGACCAACAATGACAAACCATGAGACAGCAGATCCCAGAGTAAACAAGCCTGGAAGAGCCGCTGCGCAGTTCACACACCAGAGACAGCAAACATGCCACATGCATGGCGTCATCTTGTATCGGCACTCGCTCAGGGACTCCCGACACTTCTATTTCTAGAAGGTCCCGTCTGTGGCTGCCACCTGTGTGCGGTGAGGCGGATAAGGCATTCGTCGCAGCCTGCGTGTACACCTCCGGTCGCGTTGTTCTGTATCATGTCCACGAACACATGTGTACCTGCCGTCATCCGTGCTGAATAGGGCTTGTCATGTCCCCTAGTCGGCCCAGCAGGGCATCAACCCTCGCCCTGATTCGCCGTTTTTCGTAATGCGGACTGATGGGGAGGGGAGAGGTCGATGCGCCCCCTGGCGTTTCGGAACTAAGACAGATAGAGCCGGTGGATTGATCTGAGCGAGATCTTGCGATTGGTAATGGTTTGTATGTGACTAGGTGAAAATTGACCCCATTTTGCCGGGTCAAAGTACAACTTTTCTCAAAAATTGCACTTTCTAGCTTTACAACCACATGTATACGAAGTTATGTCGCTTAGCGACACAAAACCTGTGCTGGCAGCCAATGCAGGTGTGTTCTCCCTAAATGAAACAACGTCGGTCCGCCGCGCGCGTTCCGCAGTACCGTCGGAAGCCGGCCGCCGCCCTCGCCGGCCGTAGATCGCCGCAAAGTGTTCCTCAAGAGTCACCGCTGCTCCGAAAGCGAAAATCCTCGGCACACAATTTTGGAGTGAAAACGCACGCAATGGTCGCAGTGGATGCCTCATCGGCTTCTGAAAATATGGGCGAGATTACAACGTGTGCCGAAGTGGTACCCTCAAAAACGTTGGGAGGTCACATAAACCCACCTGCCCGCCCACGTTCCCTCTGTTACGGCGAGGGGTAAAGACTTCCTCAGCTCCGGATAAATGCCAGTGCTCAGTACCCCAGCGTAGCGAAAAGAACACGCTACATCATTCCCCAGCCTAGCGGGTTAATGTACCACATGGAAAGACCCGGCCCGTCGAACAGACACGTAAGCTCTCTCAACATCAGTGCGCGTGGCACATGATATTTTCCCATGCCCTCTTTGCGACAGGCTGACACTGGAAGCGACTTTAGGTAAGCCGTTCTGCCGATCCACGTCGGCGGAAGTCTCACCCCATCCCAGCGTGCAGAACACGTAGGTTTTGAAGGGCTTGGCGAAGGGCCGGGCGACCGAGTGGTGCAGGCCCAGCCCGACGGTCAGCATCCAGGTCCAGGAGCTGAGCACGGCGTACTTGTAGAGCGCCTGCAGCAGGCGGCAGCCGATGCCGCCGTCCGTCCCGTCCACCGCCTGCCAGCCGGCGCCGGCACCGGCTCAGACACGCGCGTGCCGGAGTTCACCGGCGGCCAGCTCTGCAGCGCCGTGCCGGCGGCAGGGTCGCTGGCGGTTACCGTGTGACTGTGTGTGTGTGTGTGTGACCGGCGTGCCCCGAGGCTGTGGCGCCACGTGCCCCGTTCAGGCCGCCCCGACACTATCTGGCTATCACTGCACGGATCTCGAGCGGCTCGCTGTCATACGAATGCAAACACCCGAGGGCGGTTGCCTCGCATTACAAACTCGTGTTCGTCAATATTGACTGGTGTCTCAATTGATGGAGCGCTGATTACAGCTGTTTGGTGCCACGATTAAGTACAACTGCTTCCTCAGCCGCCTGTTGAAGTGGCCGGGAGACAACACCGGCGCGCCGGCCGTCACAAGCGCGAGGCGTTTTCTGCGGGCGGGCGTTCGCGCCGCTCCGCCTGCTCGAGCCGAGACGGGGCTCGGCGCGCGCTGCGGCCGGCACTGACCCCCGTCAGGTGGGAGAGGTTCAGCACCACCGCCCGCCAGACGACCATCACGCAGCGCACGAGCAGCGCCGCCATCAGAGAGCCGTGCAGCAGGAACTGGCCCGAGTGCAGACTCCGGATGATGGCGGTCAGCACCACGGCCGGCAGCAGGACCAGCATCGACACCTGCCGCGCGGCACAGTAGCTCAGTGATACCCTTGGCAGCGCAGGACCACAGCTAACACGCCTGCAGCACCGCACAGAAGCCTGGTCCGGAGAACGGGAGCACAGCGCCAGACGGATGACACCACAAGACAAGACCACAGTACGCACACGTGCAGTACTGAACAGTAGGGGAGATCGAGTGCAGCTGTCGGGCGGGTATGCTGTACGTTGTACAATGAGTGCTCCTTCCGGGTTAAAAACTGCCGTCGCTGACCGTTACTTTAGCTGTTATAGTCAGCAAACCGTTAATACGGCTGACAGCAATTTTCCAACGTCAGAAAATTCGTGTTTGTGTATGATAACAGCTGATTGCTAATATTGACTATGATAGCTCATTAAGATCTTCTTGCACTTGTTTGCCTTTGCGCTTGGCGGGTTAGGTTTATATGAAACATGCCTTGGAGGTTTTCGTGCTTAAACCTGGAATGAAAGAGTGGGAAAGTTTCGACGTAATGGAAATGGTGAATGTGTAGGATTGACGAAAAGTGGTTGCTGTTCTGCAAAATGTACCAAGAGTGAGTGGATCACGAATATGTTTGACCACACTATGAAACGGACACTATCGCATAACATACACTTGACAGCGTTCCAGGTCGGTAGCGAAGTTTTGCTTTTTCGGTGACCCCAAATATGTATCATTTCAATTTCCAAAATATGAACGAGATATGGCCTGCTAAATGGAAGATGTCTCTTAAGCAAAATGCGTCATTTCTCACATACCCAACCCGGCAATGAAATGACATTTAGGGCATCCAATGAGAACCTGCACTTAGATAACCGCAGGATAATGCACATGCAGAAGGCATATTAACAACAGCCATACATTTTCTGCGCACTGCATTACATAAAATCACACGTTCTCACTCCAATCCCCGGTTACCAATATCTCGTCATCTAAAAACCGGGTACCCCTGCAGTCTATTCGTCAGTTAAGATGGGTGCCGTGTCACCAATATCTGTGGCTTCCAGACTCATGCGCTTTTGCTTTCAGTGGATGTGGCTATGATAGTGAAGTAATCCACGTTCATGCTCCGGCTGAGCCATGTGCCACGCATCAATCAAAAACGGCTTTCTGGGTCACCATTTTGCAAGCATGTATACACACGGCGATATGGCGAGAATACACATGGCGAGCCAATGGTGTTGTTATATGGCCAATATTAGATGAGTGGTGATCCCTTTGCTAATTCCTTACCCTATGTGCTAGAGTAGGAGTTCAAAAACAGAGTGTCATGCGCTTTCCGTCGTGCAACGTTATGTTTGTGTTTTGTGACGTTATCTCAGTTTGTGTTTTGTGACATCTCGGTTTGTGCTTTGTGGCCATACCTCAGTTTTTCAAAGTCCACAGAGAAAGGCTGCCTCGAGTCTAACATTGAGCGCCTAACTCCTTTGGGGCAACGCACGGCATCCGAGATCATTCTACAACATTCGAACGGTTAGAGCTTTGGCGACCTTGCCGTTTCGAACTGTACGCGTGGCAATGTTTCTGGACGACTATAAAATGCTGCTTATCATTGATATGATCTCACCTGCGCCTGAATAACCTGGAAATCAACTTTGTCACACGCTAGGTATTCTTATGTTTGATAATGTTTATCATGATTCCGTGGAATAATTTGATATCGGCTGTAAGATTTGGTCTGAGTGAGCTCAATTCGAATGTTCAGTAAAAATTTCACGGGCAGCGATGACTGTTAAATTTGTTGTGAGAAATCTTCCGCCGTTAAAGCGTCTGGACAAGAACATCTGGAGCGCAGAAATCCATTAGCAGGTAGGCGGAACATCGATTTTGCGTTCTTGCAGCGCGGGACTTCCAGAATTGATTGGATTGATGGATCGCTATTAGTGATCGGACATGTAAGGTGTGTGCTTAAACTTTTGTGGTTTAGTTGCAAAGGAGCAAAGCTCAACTTTCAAAACTTTATTACAATGCGCTGAACAGTTAAGGTAATGCTTTCGAAACCAGGGAATCAGTTGATGACGTCATCATGTTGTCAGTGTCCAGAATATCACCACAAAGGGCATTTACAGCTGGATTGTCGGCATCCATGATTTTTTACCTGGACGGCGGTAGGCATCTGAAATTATAGATGTCATGGTGTACATCTACCACACTTATAATAAACATTATAAAACGCCGGTTAGGATGGGCTTTTGGTCACAATATGATAATCATGCACCATAATTCGTCATTGCTTTCTTTGGCTCATGGAAGCCAAACTTGGCCCCCAAATGCATGGTGGTTTGGTACATAGTCGATAATTCGGATAGTTAACAGCGCTTCGGCTGCTGTGGCCATTTTGCGTCGGCTTATAGCTCCCAATACACTAGAATGCTATATCAGTTGGTCTAAGTAAGCCCACAATATTTCCAGAAGCTTTGAAATCACCGATTTGACACATCTTCGAACGAAGATTTTTCGGTGGTAAGTAGGGCTACGGAGTTATATGCCATAAGTGAAAGCCTTTATGCCCAAACAGCAGCCCAAAGCCCCATATCTTGTCTTGAATTGTTTTTATATAAGATGCCGCCAGCTTGTCTTCGTGTCTTTGAAATCAATCAACCATTACTAGCTCACACTGGCTCTCACACAAAAGCCACATCAAGTCAACGTATAAATGAGGGAAACTTAAATGCTCCGTGGCACTACATGTAATAATCCAGCCAGGCAGGAAACACGTGTTACAAACCAATGACTACAGGCAGACCACTCACATCTGACAGTAAATCATGCGGATTGGAAGCGTAGAGAGTTCGTAAAAATATTATGATTTCATCGTGATCGTGGCACACAAGCCTTGGGCTTGTGTACTACAATTTTTGGTTTTTGCCAAAAACGCAGCACCTTCTTGATACGGAAAGCGAAAACCGTTCACTTGATGTCAGGTCCAAAGTAATACGACCATAACGATTGGGGACACAGTACCCCGAGGACATCTCAAGATTGGTGGTACAGTACCCCGAGGACATCTCAAGATTGGTGGTACAGTACCCCGAGGACATCTCAAGATTGGTGGTACAGTACCCGAGGACATCTCAAGATTGGTGGTACAGTACCCCGAGGACATCTCAAGATTGGTGGTACAGTACCCCGAGGACATCTCAAGATTGGTGGTACAGTACCCCGAGGACATCTCAAGATTGGTGGTACAGTACCCCAAGGACATCTCAAAGATTCCAACTGTTTGAGAGGCGTTTTATCTGACCTGCAATGCTGTCAGACCCAAGATAATTAAGTTATTACGCGTGGATGGAAATCGTCACGGCTTTTGGCCTTCTTTAAGTTCATTCGAGTCGAGAAATTCTGAGACGGAGACTTCCCAGAGGTATTGCAATGACCTATTAAATCCATCGTCTTCGCCGATGCGTGCGGGTACATATCCGACCCCGTGCGAGCCGCACCTGCCGTGTAGGGCGTCCAGCTCTCACTCAGAGGTCACTTCAGCACTTCCCGCTTACCACGTTGCAGGCGATGTTGATGTACTGGCGTACGAGTCCGTGCCAGGTGTTGGTGCAGTCGCCGTAGTCGGTGTACTCGCCGTGGGGCGCGGATCCCGCCCACGTGCCGTTCGCCGTACACTCCTTCTTGGCGAACACTCGGCAGGACGGCCGCTGCGGGCAGCGGCATGGTGTCGGGTGGCGTGGCAGCGGCATGGTGTCGGGTGGCGCGGCAGCGGCATGGTGTCGGGTGGCGTGGCAGCGGCATGGTGTCGGGTGGCGTGGCAGCGGCATGGTGTCGGGTGGCGTGGCAGCGGCATGGTGTCGGGTGGCGGGGCAGCGGCATGGTGTCGGGTGGCATGGCAGCGGCATGGTGTCGGGTGGCGTGGCAGCGGCATGGTGTCGGGTGGCGTGGCAGCGGTACGGTGTCGGGAGGCGTGGCAGCGGCATGGTGTCGGGTGGCGGGGCAGCAGTACGGTGTCGGGGTGGCGGGGCAGCAGTACGGTGTCGGGTGGCGTGGCAGCGGCATGGTGTCGGGTGGCGGGGCAGCGGCATGGTGTGGGGTGGCGTGGCAGCGGTACGGTGTGGGGTGGCGTGGCAGCGGTACGGTGTCGGGCGGTGTGGCAGCGGTACGGTGTCGGGTGACGTGGCAGCGGTACGGTGTCGGGTGACGTGGCAGCGGTGCGGTGTGTAGGGTGACGTGGCAGCGGTGCGGTGTCGGGTGACGTGGCAGCGGCACGGTGTCGGGTGACGTGGCAGCGGGGCTGGAGCTCCCATGAGTGGAGTGTGAAGTGTGTGAGTGAGTCATGTCATGTGAGCCATGAGTGTGTGAGTGAAGTGGAGATGAACCCCCCACTTCTTCCCCATATGCGCCAGCGTCGCACCAACACTTGTTGGGGCGTCCATGGAAGCAAGAAAACCCCTGAGGAACAGCCGGGGTCCAGAAACGACAAGACACGGCCAAGAAAAAATTGGGTTTAAGCCCATCCGAGGTCTTGATTGAACCTGGCAGCTCCAAGAGATCAGGGCTTCAACAGGAGAAATGGTCAAAAGAAATAGAAGCGTCAGAGCGACAAGTACCGCAGAAACGTTGGGAGCGGTAATCATGCACGGGGTTCCAAGACGACCAAAGTCCGCACACAGCACTATGGGGCCACAATAACACCAGACTGCCTCCAAGGCATCACTTGCAAACACCCAGTGCCCTAAGAATATTAGCCACTTGTCTGTAGTCTAAAAGATATTCGGCATGCGATGCAATCCGGTAAGCGAATACGGGGAAAGCAGCCTTGGTTGACCCCCAGAGACAGATGTCTAAGCGTCTCAGGAAACCCAAGACGTGTGACTTAAGGCCAAACACCAGCGAGGCATGAGCGCCGACTGCTCTGGAAACGTCGAGAATGTTCCTAAAAGGTCGCAGGGGCTTAAATGGTTAACCAAAGACAAGCTAATTGCAAGTGGGCCGGTGCCTGCAGGCGCTCTCTAGACGCCAGGGTGACTCAGAGCATTCAGAAGAAGATGCCTTGCACTAGCATGAGACCGCCACGACGGTCAGACGACTCCTGCGAATGTCCGAGGACACCAGGGCATCCAGAACCCACTGGTGAGTGTGCAGAGGTCTTCGAACGCCTGGAAGCCCGCATGAATAATCATAAGTCTGGTTGCGTAGTCTGGTCACGAGAGGTGGCCAGCGAGGATGATCGTGGACCAGGATCATTTCTAAATCCGCGAGAAATGCATGGCGCTCGACGAATTCTACGAGACTTATAGGCGCTTCAGGCGGTCTCAGAGCCTTCTCATAGACGTCACATATTGGCCACGCTGTCCAGTTTGTCTTTGTCCTTTGAGCGTCGAGAGTGATACATGGGCATACTCATACGGAGTTAAACATCCCGGAGCACAGTCAAAGTTTCAACACAGTGTGGGATTTTGCTGTATCCTTCTGTGGCACTGACTTTAATGATTATGCAACCACATTCATTTAGTCGCAGTTTTGGCCTCAAACGTATAATCAAGTTTAAAGTTCATTTGTTTACTTATCGATCCACACAACACATGAAATTACTGCCGCCTCTGGAATAAAATAGTTGAAGAAGCTATCTGGTTTGTGAGCTATCGACCTATTGTAAGCTAAATAGGTCGATCCGGAAACGGCACCTGAAATAATCGTCTTGCACATTGCATTATGGGTGGCGTAACGGAACGCATACATAATTAGCCTGCCCTTGATTAGCCCGTTCTGAGATCGCAAGATTTCAGGGTGACATCACACACTCTTACCCTTAAACACTTGGTAGCCCGTTCTGAGATTGCAAGATTTCAGGGTGACATCACGCACTCTTACCCTTAAACACTCCCGCAGAGCGTTGTTACCATTAAGTCTATGCCGTAAAATTTACTTTCCGGAATAACAATTCTGCCATACAACAAAAAAGGTACAGAAGAACGATCCTGAGTCCTGACGAGCCCAGGTCAGCCCAGCTTCCCACCGCTGTCAGCCCAGCTTCCGCCGCTGTCAGCAGGGCTTTACGACCTTGAAAGTCTGCAGCCCTACAACGGCCAACATCAGTGTCATGTTGGAGAGGGTCGATATGGGGCTGACCCCGTCTGAAAATCCGCGCGGGCGCCTAATGGTGCGCCGTATTTAATTAGACATCTGACAGAACGCTAACGTCATTGGGCTGATGTCGACGCTCCCTAATGCTCTGATTCTAGTAAGTCATTTACGTATGAATGGAGCCATCCGTTCACAGCGTCAGTGAGTCTGAGTATTCAGGCTGAATGACGATTAGCCCGAAATTGAGACGTCATCACTCAACCGTCGTGCGAAAGCGGTGTTTGCAGATGACAGCTAAATCACTGCAAATACTTGCCTTTTTGCTAGAATTTCACTTCGAGAATGACGATATAAAATCGATAGGAATATATGTAACGAAACCGGAATGTGTCTATATAACTACCCTGTTGCGTACACATTCTAGTAAAAGTCGTTCACCTTGAAGTTAAATCTTTTCGCCGAAACAGTTTTTCAATCAACGATTTCTTTTGTAACGGTTGAGATCTCACTGAAATACATGACCGCGGGAAACAGGGGGAGGGGGGACAAGGTGCTAAGCCCCAACTTTCTGAAAGCTTGATACTGGCCCTAGGGCGTTGGCTAGAAAACTTGACCAAAAATGGCTATCGGCACCTATCTTGGTCGGATTACTGTCCCCTACGCTCAGTCAAGTTTAATACACATTCCTACCTATTCTGGTCCTAATTGTCTTCGCAACTGGCTCTCGTGATGTTCCTGCCTGTGCACATATACAATTATAACCTTCTAAATGTGATATGAAGTTTGAGTCAGCAACTTTCGTGGAATACCACGCAGCGACAGTTTGTTTCAAGAGCAATGCGTGATCCGAGCCCCGCCGAAGCACAGAGCACCCAGCATGATGGCTAGGCCGCGCGCGCTCCAATGGTGGGCCGGTGGACCGACCCCTGTCAGCTCTGAGAGGTCTCCATCTGACGTCACGGAGGCGGCTGTTGGGGGGGGGGACGGGTCTGCCCGCGCCCGCTGCTGGCGCCCTGCTGCCGGCGCGGCGGCGCGAGGGCGCCTCGCCCGGCGCTGCGGCGCCCCCGCGGTCCGTTTGTGTTGGCGGGTGTATCACCTGTCTGTCAGGGCGACGCACGCTTCCCAACTAGGTCGGATGAGCCAGCGGCAGCGTTCGCCGGCCCTGGTGGGCTTCAACTCCTGACTGGTGTGCCAGCCATGCACGCAATAGTGAAAAGAACGGATTGTGGGGGTTGTGTTTGTAAAGAGAAGAAGAACGGAAAGGACGGATTATGCCTTCCAAACCAATGCTGCGCTTTCACGCTGCAGAGACATCAGATACGTCAAGTTAGATTACTTCTCACAGTCACCAGTCCGATGACCGTCCGGATGCGGGAAAGACGGGATGTTTTCTTAGCAAACGGACACTGTTAAGTGTCCCCAGCCAGTGACTAGCCAGCGGCTATCTATGGATAGAGGACAGCGAGTACATCGTCTGACAGCTTCCGGGAGCTGTGAGGGACCTTCAGTTCGAGCTTGCTTGAGAGGTCACCAGCAGCAGTCAAACCGCACCACCCGCTGGCCTCACGCCGCATACCCTGCCATGGTCCAGTCCTGGTGGACCTCGAGCGTAGCAACTACACATGGCCAATGGCCGTATGCAAAACTGTTTTGGGAGTGCTCTCCTGGTTTGTCATTCAGGACATGTAAGGCTGGGCGCATTATCATACTATGGCCAATCATGTCAATAATCACCGTGACTTTTCATGCAACTGCATGAAATGTGGCGGCGCACAGGCAATGCAATGAGCACAGGCTATTTTTTATGCAATGAGCACAGGCTACTTTTCATGCGATGAGCACAGGCTACTTGTAGTATTCGATAGACCCGAAGTCCCTTCAACAGTCTTGGAGCCTAGTGGATCTCATCAATGTAGCCTCGAACTGGCATGATGGCATGGCATACACTACGGCATGGTATTTGTAGAAGCAAACCTGACGACAGAGACCGCTCACGATAATTCGCCTGAATGTGTGACGACATGGTATTTCTCATTTTGCAGTAGAAAATATCAGGGAAGACCCTGCTCACGATAGTTTGCCCATCTCAATTGTGGGATTATCTCGGATCCCTCGGAAAACTCGAGTTCGACCATCAGAGGCATCTGCCAGCTACCGCGGAAGATGACGCATTGTTTCAGCAGCGGCGGCGTGAGCACCACGCAGGAAAAACATCAGTTTATCTCGTGTGTGTGCGCGCTGATCCTGTGTAAACTAATGTCCTGTGATAATGGTTTCCGGTATGCCTTCATAATGCGTGCTAACACAGTGGGCAAACACCATTTCGGACCGGCCGCCATTCCCAAACAGGGCCAACGGCTGTGAGCAATAAAATCAGCCTAAATGCACTGCAATAAGCCAGTTCGCAATTGCGATTGACGGGCTGCAAGGCCGAGCCGACGGCTGTGACCGGTGTCGTCCGCCGCAGCGGCGCCGCCACAGACGGACTGGGCCGCCACGAACGGATGGGGCCGTCACAGACGGACGGCGCCGCCACAGGCGGACAGGGCCGCCACAGACGGACGGGGGCCGCCACAGACGGACGGCGCCGCCACAGACGCACGGGATCGCCACAGACTGATGGTACCGTCACAGACGGACGGGGCTGCCACAAACGGACGCCGTCACTCACCCGGTGGGTGTATATGTAGTCGGGGCACGGCTGGTAGACGGTGGTGCCGGGCCGCGTTTCGTTCCAGCACAGCCAGGCGTCTTCCGTAGCCGGACAGTGCTGACCGCGGTCGGCAGCACCAGCCGCTGAAGCGAAGGCCGCCGTCAGTTGGACCGAAACCGACCATCCGGCATGCCGATCCTAACAGATCAACTGGTGTCAGGACTGGCGCGGGTCGATGGATGCAGGCTCACCGCGCATGTGGAGTGAATAAGAGAAGGCCATAATGACTGCTAGATACTATCGCGCTAGACAGTAACTCTGATCGGTCGAGCAATTTATACACAGCAGGTGGGTATACACTTATCCTGATATGCATAACCAGCAAGCGTATGCTCACACACGCGAATAAATCACAGTCCCGTGATAAGACCGCGGTCTCTGAGACATATGTCTCAGATATGCCATGTAGATATATTATGGACATATGCCTGATAATACCATGCAATGAAATCAAACATAGCGTTTGTAGCTGCCAGCTGCGGGTTAGATCCAGCCGTTCCTGGAAATTGCAGACCCAGCAGCGCACCGCATAACATTTGCATGCCGAGCAGGCAAGAACCCGCGTTAATTCAGCACACACCACGCATTGTCTGTAAGGCCCGTCTCTTCTTCACCTATGATTCCTGTGCACCATATCCTTGAGTCATCACCCATCCGAGCCATTGATGAGGGAAAACCAACTAAGACCTCGCACTTGCTCTCGTCAGGACGCCGCGACAGTAGGGCTCACTTGTTCCCCAGGCATCGCAAGACGCCGCCACAGCAGGGCTCGCTTGTTCCCCAGTCGTCGCAGCTTACCCGCTCTCTGCAGGCGTTGCGGGACGAGCTCACCTGCTCTCTGCAGGACGTTGCGGGACGAGCTCACCCGCTCTCTGCAGTCGTCGCGTGACGAGCTCACCTGCTCTCTGCAGGACGTTGCGGCAGCACTGTTGCGAGCTGCGGCAGCACTCGGCCCATTTGGCGGCGAAGTGCGGCTCGGCGAAGGTGCGGGCGATGGCGTCGACCGCCGCCGGGTCGGAGAGGTTGGCGAGCAGCGCCGTACTGCCATTCGCTGTGTGCAGGTACTGTGCGACACGGCAGGCCGTTCATAGCAGCGACAGGCCATGATGTCAGGGGCTTTCCATTTCAATGCAGCGGGGGAATGCCAGGTTTGCCTTAGAGTGAGGAGACTTTATGTTCGAGGCGCTCAAAAAACGCACTCTTTTATCACTTTATCACGACAACGGAGCTTCTCAATACGTCACGAAAATTTGCACAACATTGCCGGCTGCTCAGCAGGTGGAACGAGCCTATATGTCCTATATGTCAATGTTATCACATTTTTGCGTCTTTACTAGCTCCAAAAGCTGATGAAAAGTAGGCTCGTCATACGGGCGGTCTCTGCAGCAACTTGCACCACAGAGTGGGATGCGTTCCGTTGCACCACATGGTAGGACGATGACACCGTTTGTAAAAGCGCCACACGCACACACACAAGCACCTACACGCACGTACGTACGTATATAACCGAGGCCGACCCATTGACCTGCCAGCGACGCCGCCCCAGCAGCAGGCGGCGGCCCGGCAGGAACCAGTCGTGACCGGAGTACGCGTAACACCACGTGCAGGTCACCAGGTCAAACTGGGCCGGCGGGTAGCTGGCGCCGTCCCTGAATCGACACAGTTTCTGCGCCGCCACCTCGGAGCGGACCAGCTGTGAACGAGGACGAGCAGCTCACGTAAGTCTTTCCACCGGGCACAGGGAGCGGGGTGATGTGACTTGTCTTTGGACGTCAAACCGCTGCTATAATGTCAGTCGATATATTTTTCAAAAAGTTTCTTATTGCATAACTTGTGAGGTGCATTTGAGAGGAGCATTACGCACATGGATAACATAGTACTAATAGCCTTATTCCTCGTAGATGAACCGGAAAAATGGAGAGATAGATGAATTGGTTTTTCGGCTACATACCGTTATCGTAACGAGTATCAGTAGTAAATCCAAAATTGTCTGCCGATCTTACTTTTCAATTTGGTATGCCGGCCCTCATTGGCTGCTTGATGCGTATGACGCTTTGCTATTGCTAAACCAGTTTTTAAGTGCATTTCCCCACTATCAGTCATTCATCATCTATCAACGATCTCATGGGAGTCATGGGATATGCCCTTTTTGTGTTGCGGATTGAAATACACAGAGATGGTTCTAAACTTGGTGGCTCTGCCTAAACGTCAGATTCACATTGCCTGTCATGATTTGAGCTTCCTTCACTGAGCAGAGGCAATTCCACGAACAGGCTGGAAAGCAAGCCAGCAAAAATAACAGTTTTTTTAGTTAGGACACCGTTTTTTAACACAAAGCAACAGGCATGACTGGGCGGCAGGTACCACACCAGACACGCCGTGAATGATAACCTGCCAGCTTGACGAGACAGAAAGGTGACCATCTCCAAAGCAAACTTAAACTTCCACAGAACAAAGACCTTAAACAAAGACCTGTGCTCGAGCTCACTGGTGAGCCTGAAACCTGAGCATGCGCTGCTTAAGTGTTCGAGGAGCTCTGTGACATGGCGCTCTTTCAACACGGGAAATATGTCATATCTATACCTCCTCTACACCTCGACCTCATGAGGAAAGGTGTCCAAAATGTTGAAAAATCCGCAAGCTACACAAAACACGTCCGCAAACAAAACAAAGGCATATTCAGAGGGAACGTTAGCAAAAAGTGTGTGTTAGTAGGGGGGAGGGGGCGAGGAGGGAGCTGCAACGGTCATTCATTTGGAGTTGAAATTCGTTGAATGCACAATACGGCACGTCAAGGTTTATTGCTGGGCGTATGAATATTTGCCTAAGGCAATGATTCATATGCACAAGTTTTCCTTTTTGACTGATGGCATGATGCGAATCGGCGTGATGATGTTTCAGAGGCGTACACAACTTGGGTCGGAGCCAGTCAGCATGGGCTAGGGAATGGGACAAATATTTTGAAAGCAATTTTTCAGACTATTCTTGCATCCATATGATAATCATCTGCCGTTCATTTCATAGCTCCATCGCGTGATTTCGGAACACAACGGGATAAGGTTATATAAAAAGCAGCATCATGTGCGAGTATGCTACAGGAGCTAATTCGGGCTTACGCTCAGACGTTCAGCCTGAGAACCTTAGAAGGGAGTTTGAATGATACTTGATGTTGCATTTCTGCGCCAAATACCATCAAGATTACAAGATGTGTGTTCTGATGCATGTTGATTAGCAACGTAACTACTTATCTTATCTTCAGGAGCACTGATATACATGAAATGCTGAACTGCCCTCTGAGTCCTTTCTACCCCACAAGAAGCAGGCTGGAAAGTGCATTCTTACTTGACCCTCATCTTCTGAGTGGAGGTGTCTCAGTATGGGTTGAGGGCGTGGACAATATCCTAACACGCGCCCGGGTGGCCGGCCAGATACCTTTCGCTCGGGTGGGTTGGGGGGGGGGGGTCAATTTGACCTCCCCTGAGATCTCAGGAGATAGAAGGCCTAGAGACAACCAAACTTACAGGGTGTGTTGATGTTTACGTGAAATCACTTAGGTAAAATTTTGAGGTTCCTAGGTCATGACCTTCGGATCAAATAAGGTCAAGCAAGGTCAAATGTTAGGTTGGTCTCTAAAGTGACCCCAGAATCTGGCTAACCGTTTCTAAGGTATCTGCAGGTATCTAAGGTAACAGGTATCTGCCCTTCCTCGGTGTTGCGGCATAGCGAACAGGCGATGACACCCACACTGGAGTGCTTGGAGGACGAGACATGCGGTCAGGTATTTGGAGGTCAAAGTGGTCAACACAGGGAGACAGGACCACCCGTGCAAAGGGCGCAGATATTTTCGTCGAGTCGAAACGGAAATGGGAGAGGGATGGACACTTTGATCAAACTTGGAAACCCAACACACTTTGTCAAAATAGCTGCTCGGATTAAAAAAAGATACTGTGGTCAGAAAGCACAGGTCACGATAATTGGTGGAGGAAAATTAGCCTTTCGTGATCATGCCTTACACAAAATGAGTTTGCAAGAAGATGATGCAAATTTTAAAACGCTCGTGCAAACACATGACCGGCGGCGAATCTATAAAGAAATTCACATGCACCTAGCTTAGCTTAAAGAAAGTCAAAAGCGGGTCAAAATGCGCAAAAGCTGTTGCTAGGTAGTCATGCAAAGGCCTGAAGGAATATTCCTAATCTAAAGGCATTGATGTAAGCATCAGATATGCCGAAATAAGCCCATTTTTTACTATCGGTATACTTTTGAGCGGAAAAGGTTTCTCTAGAAAACACAATTTTTTGATTGAGTAAGTATGCTCCTCACTACGTTATTGTCTAATTGTGCCATGGCACCTTGCACGACGTCGATTGAGAGCCAATTGACGGCCGTTATATCTGGAAATAGAGCTCAAGAACGCCAGGCATGAACGCATTGACAATCATATTTTTCGTGGCCTTAATCGCTGAATGACCAAAAGACTGGCAGGATTTGAATGACGTTATTATGCAGTCATGCATCCCTGGGTGACCTTGAAATAATCTGCACGAAGTAGTCTGCACATCTTCGTGGGGTATAGCTCAAAAACTTGAGGTTTAGGTCTTAAGAAGAGCGTGCCTGTTAATTGAACCAAATGGTTTCCAAGATGGCTATTTTAGTTTAAAACCTCATACAAATGTGAAACACTCCCTTCAAAGACACGAGGCGGCAAATGCCAGAGATCGGCAAGAAAGAGGGATGTAGACAATTTAGGCTTGCCGAAGTCCTTTCTAGTCAATCTGCTTCGCAGGAGTAAGAAACCTCTTGGACTTTGTGGTAGCTGGTGAAAAAGAAAGCAGTTTTATCCCTTTTAGGACGGCTACTGAGATGCCAGTGAGTTGAAAACTGGGTTTGCTGATAGTGGCATAAAGGAAAGGGTAAAATCATTGTAGCTAGGACTGAACAAAGGAGGAGTGCCCAGTAGAATAACGTAACACTGGTCGCGTTAGCGGGTTTGGGGTCACAACATGTCATTCACGTACGCGTCATCTGGTTTTGTTATTGCAATGAGCAGTTCGTGAAGGAATTGCGTTGAGATGAGAATGTGGATGACACAGTAGTAATAGCTTTATTCATCGAAAAAAACTGTGGGAATGGAGAAATATTTTCGGTTGACATTTCGGTAACATGCCCGCATCACAACGAATGACAGGAGCAGATATTCACTTCTGCTATTCGTTTCGATAAAGACATGCTGCCGAAATATCAACGCATCTGTATCTCCATTCTCTTGGTTTTTCTCAGAGGAATAAAGCTATTACTACTGTCTTATCTACCTGCGTAATGTTCCTCGCAAATGCTCTTATCAACTTACGTAGATGTGGCAAGATGGAAGAACATATGAATGTGTTATGGTGGCATTTACGCGTAAATCCCTGTGGCACGTGCATATGTTCTTTCACACAAACTTGTATGTGCCCTTCTACGGTTACAGTTATTAGCCAGCATGTGACAGTATAAAATTCTGAGAAATTACGTTTTGGCATCGTATCACCTGCCCATGATGTGTTTTAGCACAAGATCGCAGTAACCGTCTGCCTTAACTGTAAGCGGGGGGTCTCTTGTCTCTGTTGTCACAAAGGGATGTGTGTGTCTGAAATTACAAAGGGGTGTGTGTCTGAAATTACAAAGGGATGTGTGTCTGAAATTACGTGCGACTGCTGTGTATTTTCTTAGTGAGAGGTCGGCTACATTTGTCTTAACATTGAGCAATCGAGGCTAAAGGATTGGGGCATGTTATCAAAAACGCTAACATTAAAAAGGCAACTGGTTGAAATGTTACTATTTTACATCAAGTCCCGGCATTTATCTGGTATCACTGGAACTCCCCTTGACGTCGCGCGACGTCGCTCGCGTCAATGCCGGAACACGAGCCTTTCCGCCAGACCGGCGCAGCCGATGGCGGCAATCTTGGCGCAATCGGTCAGCGCGTCCGGCCGCAGCACGCTCGACTTGGCTGCGGATTTACGGCGGTTTGGGCTGGCGACTCTCAGAATATCGGACACGCTGCGTTAGCCGACCGAGATTCGGCGGGCGGAGAGACGGTCGACGGATCGAACGGTGCCCAAAGTGAGGCGTTCCGTGCCACGATGCTCGTGAGGTTGCACTCTTCTGCTTAGGATTCGACTGCGGAAGCTCACCTAGCGCAGGTTGATGCGGTGATGGGCTTCCAGATGAAGGAGTGGTTGGGTGACCTGTTTCGATTGAACCCAGCCAGTGACCTGTTTCGATTGAACCCAGCCAGTGACCTGTTTCGATTGAACCCATCTGTGGCTTGCTCGGGAGGCGTGAGTAAATATTGGCACCCCTCTGCTTTTGTCGCCAACTTATAACTGCCAGGAGGGCGAAATTTGGCTGGCTGGCTCGTGACATACATGCCGTTGGAGGAACCGCTGTTTTTTTTATCCGATAGCTTCGACCTATGGCGCGTGGGACGCGCCAGCTGAGCTGCACTCATGCTCATTGAGGCAGCTGAATTGGCAGCCTTTAAAGCTGCAGGGTTCGAGCTTCAGAAGTATCTTCTGTGACACAGCGCTGCCTAAATATGACAATATTACGAAAAGTATTAATAAAGTGTAACTTGCGTGGCGTGCAGAATGACGGACTTGGAGCACGCTGAGTCACGAAGGCCGTGGTCCAAAGTCCCCCAAGTAATTCGGCCAGAGAATATTCACACAAGGCATCCAATCGTGTCCCAGTGAACTCTCCAAGTGTCAAAGGTGGACATGCGGCTCACGCGCCTGTTTGCTCGGCCGCCATGTCTCTATGAGTGTCGTCCATTCTGGAGCAGTACCTGAGCGGCCAATCCCGGTCTTGTTTGTATATCTAGTCCGCCCGACGCTGCTATGATCCCTTTGCAAATACCATCTCTTCAGCATGAGGAGAGGCCTGTCAAACTGCACGTGCCGCGCTGGCAGAAACCCGCCGCGGCTCAAACGCCGCGTGAAGCACCGGCGGCGCCGAGGAATGAAAGGCTGTCTGCAAAGGTCTTCCGCATGCGCTTGGTTCATGTCACCAGCTGCTTCAGCAGGCCCTTCTCCGATCGATGTGTAGTTTGTGAATGGCGACAGAAACAAATTGGAGACGTTTGTCGTGGAATCAAAGTATCTTCCACAGTCGGTACCACAATGCAATTGTGACGAGTGTATAAGCCTCATATACTCTGTTGAGTATGACCTGGGTCTTGAGCGAAAATCAGAAGGCAGGTAGAGCACATATCATCAGATGAATTACCACTAGTGTTCGTTCTATAATCGATTTGTTGCTACTCTCAAGGCTTGTGGTCATGACGTGGTCAGTAAGATACTGCTCTGGCTCACCAACGTAAAATGATCAGTTCTGTCTCCCATGTAGTTCTCATCACCAGTGTGAACAAACTGCTATTCTACTAAAAGATTGCGAAGTGTCCGTGCTGCCACAATGAATATACGAAGACGGCATCGACTTTTAGAACCACGGAATCAAGGGAATTCAGACTGCTCTTCCGTTATGTATTCGGTCCGTTACTGAGAGCGATTTGTGTTGCCTGCAGCGATGAACTCTTTCACTGAGAGCGAGTTGTGTGGCCTGCAGCGATGGTTCTGTCACTGCGAGCGAGCTGTGTTGCCTGTAGCGATGGCTCTGTCACCACTGCGAGCTGGCTGTGTTGCCTGCAGAGATGGTTCTGTCATTGAGAGCGAGCTGTGTTGCCTGCAGAGATGCCTCTGTCACTGCGAGCGAGGTGTGCTGCGTGCAGCGATGGCTCTGTCACCACTGCGAGCTGGCTGTGTTGTCTGCAGCGATGGTTCTGTCACTGGGAATAAGCTGTGTTGGCTCTGTCATTGAGAGCGAGCTGTACTGCCTGCAGCAATGGTTCTGTCTTTGAGAGCGAGCCGAGTTACCGGCGGCGATGACTTGGTCACTGCAAGGGAGCTGTGTGGCCTGCAGCGATGATTCTGTCACTAAGAGCGAGCTGTGCTGCCTGCAGCGATGGCTCTGTCATTGAGAGCGAGCCGATTTGCCGGCAGCAATGGCGGTCGTCCAAGAACAACGCTGATGATTCGATGGACCTACATACCTGACGGTAGCGCGCTGTGTAACCGTTTCTGCAATTTGTGACCACATGCATACAGCTGGACAGACAGCAAAGACTGGATTATTGATACAGAGGTATCAAGTCTAAATTATCGTCGGTGTCGTCACCTAACTTATACAGGCTAGCTATCTTAACAAAAACCTCCAAGTAAAGGTGACCATACGCTTGAAACTGATTGAGCCTGCTGGTAAAGTTATACGGTCTCATTTACTCTAGAGCAATGCGGAAATGGTGATTGAAACGATGGATTGTTAATCCCGGTGCATGCAGGATTACGAAACATTTCGCCACTGTGCTTGTGTTGGGTTACGAAGGTGTAATACGGTTCATCGCAATGCTGCACCTGTTTGGGTACTACAGACTAAAGAGTTCTTGCCTTCTGCAAGCAAATACCACAGTCAAAATTTCTTAGAATTATTGCAGCGGTAAGAGCAGCCACCTGCCAGAATAACAAAATACTATATGCCGCCGGGAAACGATGATGAATATTTCTAAACACTCCACATCAGAAACTATTTTTTAGTTCGCTCAGTTCCTTTTTGAGGACCCAGACATGTCAGACATATTCTGATAGCTAAGACGACGTAAACTGAAACCTCTAAGAACAAACATGGTGAGAAATACCGTCACAAGCATCTGTACCGGAAATTTCTGGTCCAGTACCTGTGCAACTAGGGCATCATTGCCGGCAAGGCTCCTCGATAGAAAGGAAAGTGGGTATGTGCCCACACCACTGTAGACAATTCTGGAATCGATCATGTTGTGTTCCTTTTTGCCTGAAGGGTATTGCAAAGCAAACTCATCTCTGTCCAAATGACTCAGAATTCGTTCGAAACCTAAAAATGTGTCATTCCTAACCAACCTCGCCATCTTAGGCGGAAGGAGGGGGAGGGGCACGAACCAGTTGGACTTCCATTGGTGCGCCCTTGGGTACAAGTGCTCCTTGTACCCTTTTTTACGGTCATGGCCCGGGTAAGCCCATCGCTGCTCTGGCAGATGGTCCAGGCGATCAGAACGTCAGCCCTTGTTCAGCTGGTGTTTATAACTGTGTAGGACTGAGGATGCGGAATGACGCGGAATGAGGATTGAGTCTGTCAGACACTTCTGATGTTTCACGTAGAATGACACGGAAACTTTAACATTCATATCTGTGCAGCTGATGCTATTGTTGAGCAATTTATCTTGGCTGATTATAAAGAATGCAAAGAAAGAACGCAGTTGCAAAAATCATACGCGGCGTACAAAATAGATGCGCTCTTCAGGAGCGTGCGAAGACGTCCACTGTTACATCGCCTTGATAAGCGCATGACAAAGTAAGAGCCATAAGCACTGTGATGAATTGGCTCCACGGGGATCACTGAGCCAAATGCAGCCCTGATAAATTTCCTGCTGACGCTAGTGTCCAATTCATATGCATGAGTAGTAGACGACTTCTAGTCAATCTTGAACGGGACCATTGTGTGGCGTCCGTCGAACGGTCGGTCCTAAGCCTGGTTCGAGCTTGTTTTCTTCATGGCAATTGATGTGTGGCTACATTTGGAACGACAGCCATCATTATGGGGGTCAACGTCAACAGGGTGACTCGGACGTCGTCTCCCACCCATCTTCCTGGCTTATCTTCAAACGTGATTGTGCATTTCAACCGCGTACCAATCACACCCAATGACGAAAAGGTGCTTTCATGCCCACTACCGTGACTTGCCATTTCGTGGCCGTGCCGCCTCCGCCAAGCCTACGTTCCGGCCTCACTCGCTGCATGTCCGGAGGACACTGGCCGCTGCCTCACCTGCACGAGCAGCAGTCCGGGCAGCAGGGCGGCCGGCAGCCGCATGTCTGGCGGTGCTGGCTGTGCGCGGCGGGCGCCGTTCGGTGGCGCGCGCCGGTGCGACTGGCCGGGCGGCGGGCCGTGCCGGGCGCGGCGCCGTGTCGGCCCGAACTCGGCCGGCGGCGCGGCCCGAGTGGCGTCCGATAACGCCGCTGACCAGGGCGGCGGCGCGGCGAGCCGCCGCCGGCGTCGGCGGGCCGCGGAAGACGGCAGCCGGGGGCACCAGTCTTCCGCGGAAGACGGCGGCAGGGGGCACCGGTCTGCCGCGGAAGACGGCAGCAGGGGGCACCGGTCTGCTGCGGAAGACGGCAGTCGGGGGCACCGGTCTGCCGCGGAAGACGGCAGTCGGGGGCACGGGTCTGCCGCGGAAGACGGCAGCCGGGGGCTGCGGAAGACGGCAGCCGAGGGCACGGGTCTGCTGCGGAAGACGGCAGCCGGGGCACCGGTCTGCTGCGGAAGACGGCAGTCGGGGGGCACCGGTCTGCCGCGGAAGACGGCAGCAGGGGGCACCGGTCTGCCGCGGAAGACGGCAGCCGGGGCACCGGTCTGCTGCGGAAGACGGCAGTCGGGGGCACCGGTCTGCCGCGGAAGACGGCAGCAGGGGGCACCGGTCTGCTGCGGAAGACGGCAGTCGGGGGCACCGGTCTGCCGCGGAAGACGGCAGTCGGGGGCACCGGTCTGCCGCGGAAGACGGCAGTCGGGGGCACGGGTCTGCCGCGGAAGACGGCAGCCGGGGCACCGGTCTGCTGGCCAGCTGGTGAGGTCCAGGTCAACGCAGGCCGCTGCCGGTCTGGCCTGTCGACGCGGCTTCCCTCCCGTGGTGATCCAGCCTCTCCGATGCCGACACGGACGGACACTGCCTCCAGACACTGCCTCCCAGAGTCTGGTTGGCATCAGAGGAACTCCTGACCGGTAGCGGTGCCCGCTTAGACGACAGAGACCTTTAGCTGTAGGCTCACGACGCTCTGGACACTCGTGACATGGTGACCAATGTGACCTTGCCAATGTGACCTTGCCAATTTTTCAAAGGATTTAAGACGCATTCTGCCTTGGGAAGAACCTAGTGTCCGGGAGCCGTTGGCTCATATACTTAAGCGCCTATCTCAAGACAAATTCTTGCGTCAGTGCTTTATTGATGGTGGCCAGACCGCAGTGCATAAAGACACGCTTTCGCTCTGTGCTTGGTTCCAGCTGGTAGTCTGCCCCTAACCCCTCCTCCCCGCTTTTCTCCCGGTGCCACCGTGCATGACTCATCAGCAGGAGCATGAATGGTTCATCCCAGACAACGTCCGCCCGGTGCCGGGGTCCGCCCCCGTAGCTCAATCTGTTGGAACGTCTGCTTCACAATGCGTCCTTGGAGGAGGGGGGGGGGGGAGTCTAGTCGCTTCGGCACTCGCTATTGGCCCCCGGCTTGTATGGTCCGCAGACATTGACAACGGCCACTCAAGGCGAAACGGGCAGAGGACGGAGTAGACGTTCCCGACGTGCTGGTCGAAAGATCGCGCACACCTACCGGATTCTTTCAACACTTGTTCCAAGAGGGGCGATGACTTCCAGTGATGAGGCACGCAGCGCACGAGCCCGTAACACACTTTTAATCTGTTGTTTATCCTAATGTAAGTGAATGCCTAATGCAAGCTTCGTGGAACTGAAAAAAGCGAAATATTATCTGTATTCACAGCATTAGCTCACTACCAAAATTGATGTTTCAGCTTGTCCTATATTACCCAGACTGTCTTGGATTACATCTGCGAGCAATATCCCGGAGACCGACGCTAGTTGTCAGTGGGGTTATATCTCCGTCACAGGGGATACAAAGACCGCCCGCTAGTTGTCACCGGGGTTTATATCTCCGTCACA